TGTCAGGTAATTAGTTATAACAGTTCTCTGTCCTCTTAAACTGCCTGCTCTGAAGCTGAAACATTTCTCATGTTTACAAAAGTTGTTTACTTTTAAACAGCAGTAAGGTTATAGCAGCTTTCTTTCATGCTTCCACCATTCATACGTGCAGACTTTTATTAAAAGGGTACTTTTGGTACAGATTAAAGGGTGCTGTGGTACAGATAGGGTACTTTTTTTTTTTTTTTTTGCCAGGTCTGATCACTGATGTGTTTCAGGGGACAAAAGTGAATGTCCTATAGATCAAGAGGCCATACAATCACTGATCTATTAAAATGTTTGACAATAACAATTGAAGCATTCTGTGTCGGAGTCCCTGTGTCATTTGAGGTGATTCTTCTCAGTTTATCTTGTTACACGAGATTGTTACCTTGCTAAACTAGATTGTTTTGATCCAGAATTAGCATGTGACAAAGAGACATGTGGCCAGTTCAGTTAAGACTTTCTCAATTTTATGCAAAAAAAAAAAAGTTATGCCTCTATAAAGTGCTAAGTCTGAATGACTCCAGTAAATTCTGCAAATCAGCTCTACGGCGCGGGTGGCCTGACGTCCCGTCATTTTCTTTTAACAGTGGATTCACCTTTTCCTGGATTTTATTACAATATTAACAAAATGCATTTAAATAAACGGCACCATGGTTATATATACGTTATATATTACACTGTTACAGCTACTGTCATTAGCTACTATAATTTATTATTGGAGTGTTAAATTATTTGAACAGGCCACGCCCACAAGCAACAAGAACAGTGCATGCACTCAAGAAGCAAGTGTGGTGCGAGATCAGTGACTGTACATCGAGTTACGTCAAGCTTCAGGAGTTATTTGCCACAATTAGAGTCTATAACAACTGAGAATATAAAGTCTTGATCGAGCTATTTCTTTCTGAGAGCAGTGCATTTTGTTCTTGTGCTCAACTACTGTAACTGTAATCATTTCTCAGGGTGGAAATGATTTAACACAATATCATTTAAATAATACTTTACATAAATTTTATATAAAACACATTATTGTGCCTTAGTGTAAATTTAATAATTGTTTTGTTGTGAGTGAATTGATCTTTTCCCCTTTTCTTGCCTTATGAGCATCTCTCACATGTGCGCTTATGTTCTTTTTGCCTTTCTCCCGCTCAGATGACCATGGACGAGAAGTACGTCAACAACATCTGGGACCTCCTCAAGAACGCCATTCAGGAGATCCAGAGGAAGAACAACAGTGGGCTGAGCTTCGAGGAGCTGTACAGGAACGCCTACACCATGGTGCTGCACAAACACGGCGAGAAGCTATACACAGGACTGCGCGAAGTCGTCACCGAGCACCTCATCTACAAAGTAAGAGCGCGCAGAGGAGGCACAGTTTGAGCTACATGACGTGAGAAATGGTCCAGTATGTTGTGTTCAGCAGGTCTGCAGGTGCTGTGGATCAGCCATATCAGCTTTTTGTTTTTTTTTTTCTTTTTTTGACAAAAGAGCTATAAAATGCACATTTGCACAAGCTCATTTCTTTGACCCTAGGAGTTGTGTGGTGAAAAATGAAAATGAAGGGTTTTTTTTTTTCTTCTGGTGATAAATTAACGCAGTTAGATTTGTTTTGTCACTCATCCGAAAAACATTTTCATTTAAGATTATACTACTAGACGTGTAATGTCTCCTTTGATGGACATAATCTTTCTCATACACAGGTACGGGAAGATGTTTTAAATTCACTGAACAACAACTTCCTTCAAACGTTGAACCAAGCCTGGAACGACCACCAGACAGCCATGGTGATGATCCGAGATATTTTGATGTACATGGTGAGTCGAGTGTTTGGTCTTGGTTGAATGTTGCTCTCTCGTCTTTTCTTTTGTTTTGTTTATACACTGTGATCATGAGGGTTGCTGGGTTGCTTCTGTTGTACTCGCAGGATCGAGTGTATGTGCAACAGAACAACGTGGAGAACGTCTATAATCTAGGCCTCATCATATTCCGGGACCAGGTGGTCCGCTACGGGTGCATCCGGGACCACCTCAGGCAGACGCTGCTAGACATGATCGCCCGGGAGAGGAAAGGCGAAGTGGTGGATCGGTAAGATCTGTTCTTGCTATGCAGAATTGCTTTTGTTTTGTTTTGTTTACGTTTTAGATTTTTAATGGTATGCCAGATGCTAGCTTATTACCTCTTGATTTATTTAATGTTAATGAACTACTGTCAGAGTTATAAATGAGCATTTTGTCATTATCAGGGGTGCCATACGTAATGCCTGCCAGATGTTGATGATCTTAGGCCTTGAAGGAAGGTCGGTCTATGAGGAGGACTTTGAAGCCCCGTTTTTAGAAATGTCTGCAGAATTTTTCCAGGTTTGTATTGCTTCATGTCATGCTTCATTATGAGGTTTCATAAGATTTAACTACGAAAAGTTCAGGAGTTCTGCTTTTTTCTATGGATAGCTCATCAGTCTTTGTCTTTTCAATGCCATCAGATGGAAAGTCAAAAGTTTTTGGCAGAGAACAGTGCGAGTGTGTACATAAAGAAGGTGGAAGCACGGATAAACGAGGAGATTGAGCGAGTGATGCACTGTCTGGATAAGTCAACGGAGGAGCCCATCGTGAAGGTGGTGGAGCGAGAGCTCATCTCAAAGCACATGAAGACCATCGTGGAGATGGAGAACTCTGGGCTAGTCCACATGCTGAAGAATGGAAAGACAGAAGGTTCGGTTGTGAGAAATGAATGGTTGTAGCTTTCTGGGATTTTTTTTTTTTAATTACACAATGACCTGTTTGTGTTATGTTTGTTTTTTTAACTTGTCAAGATTTTTCTCAGGTATGATTTTTGTAGTAACAACCTCTGTGTTTGTGCCTGTAGACCTGGCGTGTATGTATAAGCTGTTCAGTCGGGTGCCAAATGGTCTGAAGACAATGTGTGAGTGTATGAGCGCCTACCTGAGGGAGCAGGGCAAAGCTCTGGTGTCTGAAGAGGGAGAGGGCAAGAACCCAGTGGACTACATCCAGGTACCCTCAACCTCCCTAAACCATGGCTAGGAGGAAAATTTTGTCCTCATGATTTTTCAAACTGTGTTCTCTCTCTCTCTCTCTTTCTCCTCTGGCTTAGGGCTTGCTGGACCTGAAGTCTCGCTTTGACCGCTTCCTGCAGGAGTCCTTTAATAATGATCGTTTGTTCAAGCAGACTATTGCAGGTGACTTTGAATACTTCCTTAACTTGAATCCCCGGTCACCTGAGTACCTCTCCCTCTTCATCGATGACAAGCTAAAGAAGGGCGTGAAAGGGGTGAGTCACCTGTTCTTTGGCCTTCATTCCTAATTTCTTTTTGTTGGCCACCAATAAACATTAAACTACTTCCTTATATCAGTTTATAGGACATATGACAGTTTTGTGTGCCACCCTTGAGTCAGCGAGCTCCTAGGAATTAATCTTCTATAATAATGATAGGCCATGCAATGTAATCAGAAGTTTAATTTTAATGCACTGTTTGAAATTCCCAACAATTTTCAGGTTTTCACAAAGCCGTATAGCCAAATGCTCTGTTCTTTACAATTGCTGTGATAGAGCTGAAACTGATGTTCAAGGCTGTATCTATAATTCAGCTGTCTCGCACACTTACGCTGCACTTTTTAACATTTCACTGCTTTGCTACTTGAATGAAATCAGCACTGCTTGCAACATGTCCTTGTAACATGTTTACTTTTAATAGCTCAGTAGTATAAAATTATAGGCATTGTAGCATTGAATTTATATATGCAGAGTACAGGTCCTAATGTCTCCATTTTTCTCTGCTCATTTGTACTCATTGTACTGAATCTTTCTCTCTCTCTGTGTCTCTCTCTTTCCCTCCTTTTCAGTTGACGGAGCAAGAGGTGGAGTCAATCCTGGATAAAGCGATGGTGCTGTTCAGGTTCATGCAGGAGAAGGATGTATTTGAGCGATACTACAAACAACACCTGGCCAGGAGGCTCTTAACCAATAAGAGCGTCTCTGACGACTCAGAAAAGAACATGATCTCAAAGCTGAAGGCATGTGCTGCTGAGCTCACATCACCTGCCATTTCATTTTTATGCCTTTGCCACTACGTTTTGGAGGCATTATGTTTTCAATTTTCCGCCCATCTGCGGAATATTTCAAGCACGAGTGGTTGAATGTTTGTAGGATTTATATGGAATTATCATTGTAATCAGCAGAGGAACTGATTAGATTTAGGATCTGATCCAAACAGGATCAAGGTCACAGCAAGGTCAAATGTCTGAAATAGTTTTTATTCAATAGCTTCCTTCCTGCTTCAGGTATATTTTAAGGGTATTTCAGACATACAGTTAGTAACAAGAGGGACTAGACTTGTTGACGGTGGAGGCATTGAGCTTTACTTGTTTACATCACTGCTCTGATTTTAAACTGAGTTGTCTTAACTCCCGTTTGTGAATTTAAGACTGTTACAAAAAGGGGGTTGTGCCACATTTTCTAGGGCCTGCTGGTGATTTGCTCATAAATGATGCATGCTGCACTGACTGTGCCATTCATTTGACCAAGAATTTTGTCTGCAGTATAAATTGAACAGCACCTTCATTTCTGAATCACTCCAATTTCTTTCTTTAATTCTTCTGCTCTTCTCCTTTAACTTTTTTTCCTGTGTTTTAAATCCACTGCCTTTAAAGAAGTCAGTGTGTAGTTCCTGTTTACACTTGTGCCCTTCTCATCTTGTTCAGTTGAAGCATCGCTTCAAGTCAGATTTTGACTCTGTCTTGTGTTCCCACATAAACCCCTCCTAATTTTTTTCCACTCTTTCGGCTACTCTCATTCGAGGTTGCCAAAGCGGATCACCCGTCCGCATATTTTTATTCTGGCATAAGTTTTACGCCACATGCCCTTCCTGACACAACCCTCCCCATTTCAGGGCTTGGAACTGGCACTGGCTCATGCAACCCTCCAGTGGTGGGGTCGGTTTCCTGACCGGGAATCGAACCCGGACTGCAGCAACTGAGTGCCGCATGCTAGCCACTAGTCCACCAGGGAGCCAAACTCCTAATTAAACTCCTAATTAAACACCATTAAATTCCATTGTAAAAGTGCATGTCTGAATAGGGCTTATGATGATTGCTTAAAATACTGGCTGTGATATGTCTGGCCTGTTGTATTTACACAAAGCAGGATTTTAGATGATTTAGGTATTAAAGTGTTCTCTTCAAACAGTATAAATCAAACTTACAGCAGCAGGTAGAGTTGCCACCTCACAGCTCCAGGGTCCCTGGTTTGATCCTGATCCTGGTTCCCTCCCACTCAGTTTTTAAGCTGTGCTTTTTCTACTTTTCTTTACATGTACATTGGGCTTACAAATGTGTACATCTATATATGGCATGTCTTTTATCTTCCCTTTTCCATATTTTTTTTATATTTGTAATTCTGTTGTAGCATTTAGTAATCAGTGGGCTTTGTGCAGACTATATAATAGAATACTAATTTAATTAAGACCATAATTAAGATGACATTTAGTATTCTGGAGGACTGGGGGAAATCAGTTTCAATGCCAGACTGCATTAGCTTACTTGATCAAATGAAATTCACATGGAGAGGAGAGACTGCATGTTCTAATCAGGGTTCTCAAAATGTATCTCTAAATGTGCAGACGGAGTGTGGCTGTCAGTTCACATCCAAACTGGAAGGCATGTTCAGGGACATGAGCATCTCAAACACAACCATGGATGAGTTTCGCCAACACCTACAATCAACAGGGGTAAGAAAAAGAATGTTAAAGGAACCTATACAACTCTAATGGAATGCCACATTGGGTACCAAAAGATTATATGTAACTGACTGCAGGAGCACTCCTGAATAATGACAAATAACTACAGTTTCACTTAATCTTTCCTAGGTGTCTTTGGGTGGGGTTGACCTCACGGTCAGGGTGTTAACGACAGGTTACTGGCCCACTCAGTCAGCCACACCCAAGTGCAACATCCCTCCTTCTCCCAGACACGCATTTGAGGTTTTTAGAAGGTATGTCATTCATTGTCATTTTCCTGTAAAGTTCCCTGTGCAACTTTCTGCAGAGTAAAGATAATAGTCTCGGTTATATCTCTATCAAAATAAAACTGAGGAGCTGAGGTGCGTGTACTTATTTATAACTGACTTTCTATGATTTTTCAGGTTTTATTTGGCCAAGCACAGTGGCCGGCAGCTCACACTGCAGCACCACATGGGCTCGGCAGACCTCAATGCTACTTTCTACGGGCCGATCAAAAAGGTATCAGTGTCAGCGCTAGTAAGTCAAGACCACCTAGACCACTTTGTGTAACAGTGAGATTAGGCATGCAATTGGTTATACTTGATATTTAGAACTGATATTTAGCATATTATTTTGGATGCCTTTAAATATTGCTCTTAACACCTGTATTTTGTTTGACAGCTTTTAAAATAGGCAGCATTTTTGGGCTGCAATGGATAGCTCCTGACCTGATAATAAATTATATTTTTGTTCATAGTTTGCCAAATGTTTTCATCACAATTAAATTTTGCTAGCTCTTGTAACACACCTGACGTGACAGGAGCATACATGTGTTACTCAGCTTGCTTTTCTATATAAATTCCAGCTCTATTTAATTATGTGTCTTTATCTAAGATTATTTATCTATGTTTTTTTACGTGTGATACCACTGATATGAAATGCCAGTTCTTGTGAGGTTAAAATGCTGCACAACCAGTCAGGTACAGATAAACAGTACAAGCCTAGCTGAAAATGAACCTGTGAGACCAAGTATGCAAATTTATTTTTTATTATGATAACATTTATCTTAACGCTGTGACACAACATGGCCTGGTAACAAATGCAAACCAGGACTATTTGTGTACTAAGTACATGTGTGTAGTGTGTGTGTCTGTATCCCATCATGCATTAGTACTCATGAAAATTCAGAGGAGTTCTTCTCACTAAATGCTTCACACACACACACACTAATAATGAGTGCAGATATTTTAATCTTTAGTGAAATTAGAGAGAAGTTTGAGTGTAGACTTCGTCCGATGACTTATTAGTTACTCGATCTTTGTGGCTGAATTTTAAATGGCATTCTACACTATGCATGAAAAGCACTGAGTATGTAGCAGCCTTACGTTGTGCCCACTGTAGGGAGCAAACAAAGTAACTAAGAAACCATTTGGGATTTGGCCCTAACTCCATGAAGCTGAATTTACCTGGATCATGGGGGGAAATGTAAAATCACAGACAGTAGTAAGTAACATAAATGGGGGTAATAAATAAAATGTCACAAACATTAAACTTTACCATAAAATTGTAATATTAGCTCCTACATTTTTTTTAATCACTAAACTACTTCTAAACATTGCTGTCTTGGTATGACTCAAAACAGAGACTTATCAGAATGGTTCAGTGTGTTTGACTCATCTTTTCTACCTGTATGTTGTTGCTTAACTTGTATGGTACCTGAGTAACAAGTGTAGTCAAATTCAGCATAGGTGCTTGGGTATGATACAAGTCACTCAGTGGTGAAAAAATGACAAAATTCTTAATATGGAAATATAACTGGATAAGCTAAGTTAAAGATAAGTGCTATAATACTGCATTGCATTCTCCATACTCATCTTCCTCTTCTTCACTAGGAGGACGGCTCAGAAGTGGGCGTGGGTGGTGCTCAGGTGACGGGCTCCAACACCAGGAAGCACATTCTCCAAGTGTCCACCTTTCAGATGACCATCCTTATGCTCTTCAATAACAGAGAGAAGTTCACCTTTGAGGTATATTTTACACACGTACATTAACTTTCATGTAATGTAAAACAATACAATTGGGGGAATTTTGGTTTAAAATGGCCAGTAAATGTTCAACTCAGTTAATGGCAATGTAAACAGTATTTTACATTGCCATTAACTGTATTAAAATAAATTAACAAAATCCCATGAGTTTGGGGTGCATCCCGATTATGGCAGGAAATCATCTTTTTTATTTCATAACTACATGTATGTTAACTTGTTTCAACTAATCTTCACGTTTTTTTTTTTTTTTGTGCTGCAATACTTTTGGTAAAAATGTATTGTGAGACAGAACTTAATGAACTTAAAGGAACTTAACAGCTTTCTTACACACTGTCCTAAAAATGTCACTTTCCCTTTCCCTTTGCCTTCTCATTGCAGGAGATCCAGCAGGAGACGGACATCCCGGAGCGAGAGCTGGTGCGAGCGCTGCAGTCTTTGGCCTGTGGGAAGCCCACTCAGCGAGTGCTCACCAAGGAGCCCAAATCTAAGGAGATTGAGAACGGCCATGTATTTACAGTCAACGACCAGTTCACCTCCAAACTGCACAGAGTAAAGATCCAGACAGGTATGGTTACACACAACAACCCTTCATATATTTATATTATATTTTTATATATTAGTACTGATTAGAACATGGAACGTTTAGCATTTTTTCCGGCCACATATCCAGGAACAACATTAAATGTTAAATCATCAAGGGTCAAATTCACTATTTGGTCCTCATTTTTATGCCCTAGTTGGGTTCCAGCAGAAAAATATTACATACATGTGTATGGTAAGGGAAATATTGCGACTGTTTGGTTAACAAAATAATCAGCAAGTAAATTACATTGATTTATTTTTAAATACACGCAGAGCTGCCAATTTAGCAGATTGATATACCTAATAAACCATTAACTTGGTGTACAGTCTGGCTTCAAAAATGTGTTCAGAATGTGCCTAATAACTCTCAGCGGTTGAGAAACACTAGCTTTTATATATAGGTATAGCTATATTATCCATCATTCTCCCTAATGATTTGTATACACAAGGCTCATGCCATATGTATTTGGTTCGCAGTTGCTGCTAAACAGGGTGAATCAGACCCTGAGAGGAAAGAGACACGGCAGAAAGTGGATGACGACAGGAAGCACGAGATCGAAGCGGCCATCGTTCGCATCATGAAGTCCAGGAAGAAGATGCAGCACAATGTGCTAGTAGCAGAGGTATGATTAATAACTGCTTTATAATCCACCAGTTAGAGCACATGTTAAAGGCTAAGTAATAATGACTACTAAGAGGACCATTTGAAAGCATTTGAAATTATAGAGCGTTCACCTTGTCAGAATTATGGTAATTTTTTGTTTTTTATTGTGTTTAATTAATTAATTAATTAACTATAAGTACTGACTAGTACTTGCTGTGGTGTAAGAGAAATAAAACACGTGTTCTGTTAAAAAATAATTAAATAAATAATAGTAACACTGCTTCATGTCATGGTATACCACACCACCACATTGTTGGTTATTCTCCTATAACAGCCTGGCACCAAGTGTCTTATAAAATACTTAACCCTTTGTTGTAATTCCATAATTTTTTGAGGTTGGAATAAACTGATACCATTTCAGCAATTTTATTCTTACATGTAGTTATACTGAATGCGCTTTTTGAAGCGGAATATTAAAGGTGCAGATTGTGACTGTGTAAAGTTAATATATTCATACAGAATAATGGCTGGCTGTTCTCTCTCTTCAGGTCACTCAGCAGTTACGGGCACGATTCCTCCCAAGTCCTGTGGTCATTAAAAAACGCATCGAAGGACTTATTGAGCGGGAATACTTGGCAAGAACGCCAGAAGACCGCAAAGTGTACACTTACGTAGCATAAATGTGGCATGAATTTCAAATGAAACCTGGTGTGGAGTGAAAGAGAGCGTGAGAGTGTTATTTTTGGGACTTGGATCATGAGCATGAACTGGGAGGTTTTTGTGTTTAGGGTTTTTTTTTTTTTTTTTTTCCTTCATTTTTTTTTTTTTCTTCATCGCTACTGGGGGAAAACTGAGAAGTTAACCTTTAACCTTCTGTACAGACTCATTTTAAAAAGTTCTTAGCGATTCACACAGAAGCCTTCCAAAGCCTCCAGGGAGCTGGATGAGATTCAGCTCGGGCTCGCAGACGAGGTGTCCGTCTCTGTGAGAGAACTGTGTTAGAGTCGGAGCCTATAATCCTGAACCCAGAACAACAGAAGTGCCCAAATAAACGAAGAAT